GCAATGCTTGCACCCGACTGAGCAACAGAACACACAGAAACTGGAAGGGACTGAAAAGAATTGCGTGCCTGTGTGGTGGGGGCAAGTGATGAACAGTGATACAAAAAAACCAAAGATCCAACTGCCACTTCGGAGGTGTGGGGAGCAGCGGTGGGGGGGGGACTGTGGCCCCTGGGCACAGCAGCAGCAGTGGGGTGGCGATCACCTAAGCCACCCACCCCCACCCCATCGCCCCACCCCCACCCTCATTCCAGATCCCGGACCCCCGGACCCCCCAGGCAGCAAGCAAGGGCACCTGCTCCTTGTCCTCGCCCCTTTCTGCTGCAGCACGAGCCCCAGTAAAGCCTCCCTGGGTCCCTCCTCTGCCCTCTTATCAGTTTCTACAGATTGTGGAGCCAGAGAATCCTGGTCGGTAACAAGAGGAGCGGGAGAAAGACACACGCACCCGAGGACAAGCGGAAGGAGTCGGCGCCGCAGCGCAAGGCTGACCCCAGAACCGCACAGACGTAGCACGCGGTTTTCAGCAGGGCCGCAATCCTCTCATTTTACCAACTTCATTTTTTAAAAATTTTCCAGTAAATAAAGTTCACTCCAGTTTTCCTTTATTGACAGTGCGGTTCTCTCCGCAAGCTTCATCCCCGCCCTCCCCGCCCACCCCGAGCCCTGCCGGCCGCGCGCCGCCCTCACGCAGCGCAGGCTCTAAGTCCCTCCCCTCCTGCGGGGCCCACGGCCACTGGGCCTGGCGGGGGACACCGCTCCCGCTCACGTGTCCAGCTGGAGCAATGGTGACAACTCAGATCCGCCTCCCAAAATCTAGAGCTGTGACAGCTTTTCTAAGGTCATTCCACTCGTTATTCAATCCGGGTGAACAAAGCCAGTGAAATTTTAAAAGTAATATTAAAACCAAACATTAATTTCCACCATGTCCTACACTCAATTCCAGCTTTTAAAGCACAATTTTTATTCTTTCCCATCATTCTCAACTTCAGACTGTCATCACCCAATCATTCAGGACATACTTTTCTCTATTCACTATTCACACAGTATAATTTTACACTGATTTAGATAATTAAAGTCATCTTACCTGCACTTTTTTTAAAGCTACTGGAACTCCATCCAAGAGACAGGCTGCTCTGTAAACTTCACTAAATTGCCCGCGACCAATTTTTTTTTCTATTCGAAAGTTGGCTAACGTATTATAGCCCATATCGGGTCGTAAGGCCTTCTGTAATTAAAAAAGTCAGAAAAGTTTTCAGTCACATAGTGTACACACAATCGTGGATTGTTTTCACATAAGCAGGTGATTCCTATGGTAAACCTGCAGACATCCATTCACCCAACATGTATTTACTGAACCATTCACATATATAAAAAAATACACACATACATTCATTTAGTCCAATCTGCCACCTAATGCATGAAAATCTTCTCAACTTCCTGAAAATTATTTAACTTCTGCCAAGAACAGTTCCAGCAGCAGGGAGTTTACCACCTCCTCATCACTTTTTTTAAAAAAGACTTACTTTTTTTTAAGGCACTTCTAAGGTTCACAGCAAAACTACGAGGAAGGCACAGAGACTCCCGACACACCCCGAGCCCACAGATGCACTGCTTTCCCAGGATCAGCGCCCCCACCAGAATGGGCCCGTGCCACCGACATGCCACCACCACCCCGAGTCCATTGTTCACACTAGGTGTGTGCACTCTCTGGGTCTGGGCACACGTATCACGACGTGTGTCCACAACGACGGTACCGGAGTCTGCTCTGAAAATCCTGTGCCCCGCCCTTGCATCACCCCCCACACACACTGGGCTTTTCACTTCTTCCAGAACGTTGCATGGCTAGACTCTTACAGGACGGAGCTTTTCAGACTGGCTTCTTTCACTTAGTACATAGTTACATTTTTAAACAATTTTTTCTATTGTTTGTGGACAAAG